ATATATATATATATATATATATACACACACACACACACACAGTGGCTCAAGAGAAGATGGATTCCCCCCAATAATTGATATATTTAGAAATCATTTCCTTATCATCTTTTTAGAAATTCTTTTAAATTGTGCTTTAGTGTAAAATACAACTTTCTGAAACAAAATCAGATATTGAACATGTGGATTTTTAAATCAGATAAGACAATAATTTCTCATTCACTTGATATAAGATTCACCAAGGAATGGTATCAATAAAATTAGAAACTGATCTTAGTTATCCATATCTAGTTCTCTTTCCTTCAGAGTTATACCATCTTCTTGACATCGTGTAAACTGTATGTGTACTGAACTTCTTGTCAACAAACTTTATCCTCAACTACTACTCAGCTAGTTCTGTTTGAATTGTTAGTACTTATTTCTTGATTTTTCTGCTCTGAGACAAAAGGAGATATTTTAGATCATGGCGTGTACTACCAGGCATGAAGTTGGCTTTCAATACATATTTGTTGGATAAGTGAATTTCTTATTTTCCATATACTTAGTGATTAATTCTTACTTTCATTAATTTTGCCTTCATGTTGTTATAAATATAAAAATTTTATAGTCATGAATATGGTTTAATACATTAATTTACTGTGCAAGCACCTTTTCAGGAATCTTAACTGTGATATAACCAAACCACAGAATTTTTAAAATTGATTTTATTGGATATGTATATATCTATATCATCTATCTATCTATCTATCTATCTATGTATCTATCTATCTGACAAGATCGGGCACATTCAGGGTTGTATGGCCGTAGACTCACTCTCTATCTGTCTGTCTGTCTGTCTGTCTTGATTCTGGCTGGGCATTGTGGCACATGTCTATAATCCCAGCACTTAGGAATACTGAGCCAAGAGGGTTGCTGTGAGTTCATGGCCAGCCTGGGCTATATAGTGAGTTCAAGGGCAGCCTGGATTACAAAGTAAAACCTGTCTCAAGGAAAAAAAAAATGGAAAAAAAATACATATCTTAATTCTTCTTTTTTTCCCCATTCCCCTCTCCTCCCTTCAACGCCTTCCCTTCTTTATTTAAAAAAGATTTGTTTTCATGTTTTTCCTTCTATTCTGTTTTTTTAGAAACCCAAATTATTTAACCCTACCCTTTTTACTCATTTCTTATTGTTCAGTCCCACCAATATTTTAGGTTTGCTCTCTTTTCCCAACCCAACCCTCAAGATGTTTGCATTTATTTTTTTTTACAGGAATGTTCTCCCTACATAGGTTGCCATGGCTTAAATCATCTTTTTAGTATGATCATCAGGTCTTTACTAAGATGCACTCTTTTTCTACAAAGTCTCCACTGAAGAACTCTCATTCCCTGCATGTCCTTCCTGTCCCTCCCATCAGGATTTCTTACTTGCCTTTTTTGCTTTACTTCTCATAGTCCTTAATCTCATTTGACATTCTTTATATTTTACTCATTCACCTTAGTGCATGTGTATGTATGTTTTAAACCTATTTACCCTTACTAGTTATAAATTTTATGGGAATATAGATTCTATAAGAGCAGGGCTTTATTCATTTAACTGTCCTTATTTATTCATTTGTTCTTCCCTAGAACAAATGAAATAGTGGATGAATCCTAGATTAGAATTTCAGTTAAATTCTGTTTAACTTCATAACTAAACTAGGCTATCATTTGGTTATGTATATACCTTATTTTATGTACATCCCTATGCCAGTCTCACACCTACCCAAAGGCTTTTGAGTCAGTAATAAAATTATTAAATTCAGCTGCATTTAACAAGTAACCTTATTAAATGATAAGATAATCATTTAATAAGTAAGCTTACAGTTATAAGAATAACTGTTCCCTTCTCAAAATTATATAGCTATGGCATATACTTGTTTTCTTGTATGTTTGCGTCAGGTGTATGTGTATGTGTAATATTACTGTAAACAATATTACTATGATTGTACCACTGTAATTGTTTTATATATATGCATGTGGATGTGATTATGTATTTTTAAATAGGTTATCAGAACACCACATGGAAGAGACTTCGATGACTCCTTGGAAAGGTGTGACGAGTACTTGTGCCCCAGGTCGTGCAGCAAGCCCCAGCACTCAGCAAGGACCTTACTCGTCCATTCAGCACCCTCAACAGTGCCGAAGCATTCTCCAAGCCCTGTGTTAAACAGAGCTTCTCTCAGGGAAAGGTAATGTGTAGTCGCTATTTCTATAACCCAGTCTTTTATTAGCATTAGAAGTGGAATGAAGCCATTACGCATGTGAAGTAGGGTAATTTTATAAAGTATAGTTCAATTTTAAAGCTTACCTAAATTAGTTTTGTTTAGAATATATTACTTACTACATAGATATTTCTCCCTAGCCCAGTGCATGAGAAATGAGTTTATCAACCAGATGTTTAGTATGTTTCTTTAAACATATTTAATTAATGTAGTTATTAAAAGTGAAGACTAGAGTATGTGACAGTTTTAGTAGATATTTAATATTTTAGGCATATCTTAAGTAGAGAAATCACCAATAGTGAACCTTTTGGAGACAAGTGCCGAAACTGCAACTCAAAACCCACTTATCTCAAAGCGCCAACACTGCAATTAAACCTAAATGCTGAGGTTTTAGCTTAGAAAAACTCATACATATTAACATCTTTTGCCTTAAAAGGAAAACAAATAACACACGTGCCGTAAGTTCACTAGCACTGGGCTAGATTGTATTTCCCAGCTAATCATAATCGTGATTTATGCATTGCTGATAGTGATACCCATTTTTCTCAAATGACCTTCCCCTCACTCCCCTAAGAGAATCTTTATCATGTAAAAATTACATCCTTTCCTCTAAAGATGTTGTGATACCAGGTACTTGTTATAATTTAAATATGAAAGAAATAATTTCTCTTCATATATTAAAAACATCCAAGTAGGAAAGTTTAACAACTTGGAAGTCAGTCTACCTTAGCAGATGCTAAAAAAATGGCAAAGTAGACACTAAATTCCTATAACATTTTAGGGCCATCAGATGTAATTAATAAAGATTCAATTAAAAAGTATACTAAATGTTCAGCACAAAACTGATGACTCAAGCTAGAGTCAGTTTGACTTCTACATTAAACACCCTGTTGTGGTACTTAATATTGTTTGAGAAACTTGTTTTCCCATTAGCTTTGCAAGCTTTCAAAATGGATATATAGGAAGCGTATACTGAGCTACAGAATTTTGATTAACTTTGATCCTGGTCCATTAGAATCCTGCATCACTAAAGGGAGTATTGACTCATTGGCACTGGCATGCACACAGGTGAGCACACAGAGGGGTATACACACATAAACACATTAAAAAATTCAAGGGAAACTCTGCAAGAGGTTTCATTGTTAAAATATGATAACTTGTATCTCATGAGCAGGGAGCTTCCCTTGATGTACACAACTGCTTAAATGTTCAGACACATTTTGGTGCCACCTTTTGTTTACTTTTAGAATCATATGCCCTTGTACTTTTGTTGATTAGGTTCTTTTTCATACCTGTAACTTTTCAAGAATCTTTTTACCTATATTTTTATATGCTTTAATAAATATTGTTTTATTTTTCTCACCTATGTAACTCTCTAATTGTGAATCTACCACTATAGTGCAGTATCAGTGTTAGTGCTGTATTATTATATCCATATATTCAGTTTTGTGCTAGCTTTTGACTCCTATTCTTTCCAGATTGATAAATTCTTCACTGAGGCTATATTCAAAAATTCATCATTAAGGATAAAGTTAGCTGTGGCTTTCATCATATTTCCGTGCAGGAGATAATAGAATTGGTAGCAGCATTTACATCTTATTTTCATGCTGGATATAAAATATCATTAAGTTGTTTGATGAAATGAAATAATTCTTTTAGATTAAAAATTACCTATTTTGCCTATCACTTGAGGAGGTTAAATACTTCTAAAATAAAGGAATATAATGGTAATTTAAGCTCATCTAAAGTGATTAAAATTTTATTGGAATGTTCTCTAGGATGACAGGCATGCTAACGTTGTTTAGTTTCCCTAAGGTAGAAGCACCCTATTTTGAATATTTTTTTTAAATATAATTTAGCCTATAAAGGAAAATAAAATGTCCTTAAGACTTATTACTAGAAATATAAACATCTTACTCTTTTCAGCACTCAGGACCACATCTTTAAATATAAGACATTCTCTGATCTGATATTTTTAGATCACTGAGGAATATACTTGCAGGGTGTTTATACAACCCATTGAGCTCAATAAACAATTTACATTGATATAAACTTAGATTATATTTCCCAGGAAAAATTGAAAAAATTTCCTGTAAGCTCTATGACAGAACATACAGCTACAAGAGTTTATCTGAGTAAAATATTCCTCCAATAGAACAGTAAAATACTAACTCTTGAATTATGTCCATAAATAAACAGATTTTTAAAAAGTTCTATCGTGGCTTTTTGCATTTTTTTTTTTTTTTTTTTTTTTTTTTTGAGACAGAGTCTTACTACGTAGTTCGGGCTGACTTTGAACTCACAGTGATCCTCCAGTCTCAGCCTCCCAAGTGCTGGAATTACAGGCATGCACCACCATGCCCGGCTAGCTAATTAATTTCTTATTATAGTGAAGGTGCTTTCTGCTTTGAGTTAATTTTAGAAATACCACCAGCCAGGTGTGATAATGTGTACCTGTATTCTAGCACTCAGGAGACTGAGGCAGTAGGATCATTGTGGGTTCAAGGCCAGTCTGGATTACATAGCAAGACCATGTCTCAATAATCCAAGACAAAAGTAAAAGCTCCAATAAAGGCACCATGCCAATAAAATGGTTTTAATTTTGATTGTGTTTAGGAGTACTTTTTTTCTCAAATCATAAATATTAATACATATTGTGATTTAAAATTTGTATTAGACTACAACTGTGACTAATGTTAAACTTAAAAATATTTCTGTATCTAATTAACAAGGGCTGATGTTCTTTTGAATCATACTTAAAGTTGTGATTCTTATAAAAGGAGTTAAAGATTGATAGGTAAATATTACTGGTACCACACACGGACTGGTGGATCCCCTAATAGTACCACTGAAGAGATTTACTGGACGTGCATGGTTGGACCTTAGGTTTCCCAGACGTGCTGCATGCATTGCAAATAACAGGTCTTCCCACCTTTGCATGGGCACAGTGTAACTTGCTTTTGTACATGTAGGAGGTTAAGTTTTACATGTAACTGATTTTCCTTTATTGATTGTGTTCCTTAGATTATATAAACCATTTATTCTGCTGAATAACCTATACATTGTGTAATATATATATAGCATTGTAACTTTGTGAGAACAAATTCAGAGAAAAGAAAGATTTAAGTAATGTTACCATTTTATCTATTTCTTTCTAAAGGAATTATCAGTAACACTTCATATAGATGCATTATAGTTAGAGAGATTTTTGTAAAACAGAAAAATTTTAATTATACTAAACAGTTTTGAATTTAGGAAGGACAAAGTAAACAGGAATGGATGCCTTATTTCTACTGTAAGGTCTTTAAATACAACCTGCAGATTCTGATAAAATCATTTTTCTTAGCTACATTTACACATTTCTTTTTTATATACAGTTCTGTAATAGCAAAGACAATAGACAGATGATGTCACCTGTGTTAAGAAAGAACTACTATGTTCCCTGTATTCTAAAAGTATAGGAAAATGATTTGACTCTAATATTATATACATTTTATTCCACTTCATAAAATTAGGATTTTTAAAAATGTGGGTAAAGGTGTTTTTTCCATATGGTTTAAGAGAGTTTGATCCAATTGTTAGAGAATAAACACAGATATTAAAGATATTATACATGGAATTATTCTACTATGAATATCTGTATCATTATTAGAGCTAAAACTAAAAAATTACCTATGGAAATCATTTAAATGATCAACATATAGGTACATATACAAGTCCCAAATGCATGTCTACTTAATTATTAAAACTACTTATTGAAAAGAATAAAAAACAAAAAAAAACTATGTTTTGAGCATGGTGCAGACTTAATATTGTAGCTTAGAATCAGTACCTGACTTTATGTCTTTCTTTTATCTTTGGTCAAAGGAAGCAAATATGTTACTGTAGTCTCAGTTTATCGTACAGGGATAAAAATGACTTCTTGTGTCTGCTATTTGGGAATTTGGAGAAATTTGTGTTTCTTGCCTTCTGTCTACAAGTTACTTTTGTTTTTCATGCCTACAGATTCCATTCTGATTGGTGTTCACCTTCAAACTGTGAGGAGATCCATGACCGGGTAAAAAATGTCTTGAAATCCCATCAGGCTCATCCAAGACATCTATATGTTAGTTTCTAAAATTTTTCTCTTGAAAGCTTTTTATTAATATGGTGGGAAAACCATTTAAGATGTTTAAAGCTGGCAGTATTTAGTCACTGGGAAGAAGAAAGGAATGCTCCACTTGAAGGAAGTCAGCGCTTTGCCATAGAGTGCACCTCTTTTCCTCTTGTCCTGAATCATGTAGAGTGTTTGCTGTGGATCATCTGCACTATAAACAGTGTTAGCGGTAATTATCTTATAAAGATCCAGTAAGTAAGGCCCATATTAGTGATTTCACTATGATTACTTCAGTCTTCCAAATATGGGAACTCTTGTGGTTCAGTGTAAAGTAATTCTATTTGCTGCAAGTTGATTTGATTCAAAATGGTGGAATGAGGAAGGGAGATGAGAAATACATATTCTTGAGGAAATTTCCCAGTTGATTTATATGTTAATTAAATATTTGAAAGAGGAAAAGAGCTGGTCGAGTTTATCAGGTTTAATATTAGAGAACATCAATTGTAGAACATTTTCTAAAACAAGGTAGAAGTGTGCGTGACTGCTGGGAAATAAGGAATTATATTCTTTTTTTGTATTTGAATCATTGTTTTATTCAATAGCTAAAAAGCATTTTTCATCAATGTCATATTGAACGCTAAACTTAGTCCTGGGGATATAACTGAATTATGTGAACCTGGGACTAGTTTTTATCATTTTAAATTTCCACCTGGCATATTTCATATGCAGACTACTTTTTTTTTTTTTTTTTTTTTTTTTTTTTTTTTT